TGGTATTTATCTTATCAAAAAAATTACAGAAAGAGAGAGAGAGAGAGAGAGAGAGAGAGAGAGAGAGAGAGAGAGAGAGAGAGAGAGAGAGGAGAGAGAGAGAGAGAGAGATGAGAGAGAGAGAGAGAGAGAGAGAGAGAGAGAGAGAGAGGAGAGAGAGGAGGAGAGAGAGAGAGAGAGGAGAGAGAGAGAGAGAGAGAGAGAGAGAGAGAGAGAGAGAGAGAGAGAGAGAGAAGAGAGAGAGAGAGAGAGAGAGAGAGGAGAGAGAGAGAGAGAGAGAGAGAGAAGAGAGAGAGAGAGAGAGAGAGAGAGAGAGAGAGAGAGAGAGTAGACTTTTCTTGAACCAGAACAAATATATACCGATACTTTCTTGAGCTCCTGGAAGAAGACAGCAAATTAGACTAGAAACATTTCTACCAGTCTTTTTCATGTTTGCTTCCTCTCTTCCTTTCTCTTCCTCCCTGCCATTTCCTTTCTCTTCCTCCATCACCTTCTTCTCCTCCTAGCGGGACGAGTAACCAGAGCCGTCAAGACCTGCGTTCTCACTATAAATCTATCAGTCAAGATTACCGGGTCAGCCAAAATTGTTTTATGCGTCAGAAAGAGTGATAAGATCCAGTGACCAGCAAGATATAGGGAATATTGAAAGAGTACAGGAGTTGTGTTGCCCTGTGCACTCGCTGCCTCACTCAACCACTCACTAAATCCACACTAAATCCGCACTAAATCTGTAATAAACCTACACTAAACTCACGCAGACCGTCGTACACACACAACCAAGGGAGTAATCTGAAGTGAGCAGATTCCTGATGTGTTCAGCAACCATCCTAGGAAGATCAGATGGCAGCAAGGCAACCAAGTCAGTACAGCTGCTGTGGTGGGTCGTGATCATCATAGCACAACTGGTAGTAACTAACCTAAGAATGGGTGGGGTTCGAACCCATGGCAAGTGAGTCGTAAAACTCCAGGCCAGTGCGTAAGCCACTGGGCCAGCTGGATGAATTTTATTGTAGCCAGCTGGCCCAGTGGCTTACGCACTCGCCATGGCTTCAAAACCCCACCCGATCTCTGGTTTATTTGCAATCGTGTTTTGAGATTTCTTGAGTCATGATAGTAGTAACTACCAGTAGCATCACCAGGACACACAGCTTTATAAGTGACAGCTGGGTAACAGTACAGGTTGTAATAGGAGTGACAGTCATTGTAGAGGCACTTGTAGTAGAGGCACTTGTAGGTCAAGTCTTCCATTCATTTCCATCTCCACTGTGAAGTCTATACATTCTTTCCACTCCAGTGGAGGGTGGGAAGAGAACCTTCTGATTTGCTACCCTTGACTTCTACATCTAGATAATACATGATAGTTCTTAATCAAGGTCGAAGTGGATAGCTCTTCTCAGTAGACATCCTCGGTGTGGACTCCTAGGTCCTCTGATGTCTCTTTTTCCCATGTACTCCCGTGTGCTTCCATGTACTCCCGTGTGCTTCCATGTACTCCTGTGTGCTTCCATGTACTCCTGTGTGCTTCCATGTACTCCTGTGTGCTTCCATGTACTCCTGTGTGCTTCCATGTACTCCTGTGTGCTTCCATGTACTGACATGTACTCCTCTCTTCCTGCTGCCATCACCAACACAACCGGCAACACTACCACCAACACCCTCCTTTACCATTGCTACCACCACCATCACCACCACCACCACCACCACCACCACCACCGCCACCACCACCACCACCACCCACCATCACCACCACCACCACAATCACCACCACCACTATCACCACCACCACCACCACCACCCCCAATTACCATAATCATCACCATCTTCACATCCTTTTACCACCAACACTGCCACTACCACAATAATAATAATAATAATAATAATAATAATAATAATAATAATAATAATAATAATAATAATAATATTAATATAATTTTGCTTCTACAAGTACATGTACAAGGTATACAGACCATAGCTGACATCATTGACATACTACCATATAGAAAGCCGCTTGTTGTACAGAGCATTTCCTGCAAAGTAGGTCAGTTTTGTTCCCAGGATGCGACCCACACCAGTCGACTAACACCCAGATACCCATTTTATACTGATGGGTGAACATGGACAGCAGGTGTCTTACGGAAACACGTCCTAATGTTTTCCAGCCGTACCGGGGATTCGATCTCCGGACTTCAGTGAGTGAAGTGAGTGCGCTACCGATCGAGCTACGGGACAACACCACCACAACTATAACAACAAATAACAACAAACATTACAAACACACCACCTCCACAAGCTTCCCACCACCACTACCACAACAACAACAATAAACACTACACACACATTCGCCAACATTCAAGGGAACTTTTCCAAAAGAGAAAACATTCTAGAGTTTCACGTTGTTAAGCTAAATATGCAAAATGGGACCAGATGTGTAAATCTGGACAGCACGTCCTCAAATGTAACCAAAAATGTAGCCAAAAATGCTGACTTTTTTTTTTAGGAAGGATCGACATTTTTTTTGGCCTCCGTTAATAATGAATGTTGGTGTAAATGTCGGGAATGGTGGTATTTTGGCCATTTGCATTTAATGTCCCAGAGGCAGCTGAGGTATGTGTGACGAAATTAATGTTACATCATTGCTGAGGAGGATGTTGTG